AGAGAGACAGAGAGACAGACAGACAGACAGACAGACAGACAGAGAGACAGAGAGACAGACAGACAGACAGACAGACAGACAGAGAGAGAGACAGACAGACAGAGAGACAGACAGACAGACAGACAGGTGAGCCTCTCACCTCTGACCGACTGTCCGATGCTGTACAGGTGAGTGATGTCGGGGTTTGACTCGCTGGTCTGGACGAGGTACCGCTCCATCTCACGGTTGTCGTGATAACGAAACTCCAGCGCCGAGGCCCGGCTGAGGATGAGGAGGAGGAAGAGGAGGAGCGATGACATCACTGCAGTCACACCTGACGGAGGAAGTAAACGTTAAAATCTCTTCAGCTGGAGTTAAACTCAGACTTTATTTAAACAAAAACACATTTAAAAACACACATTGAGTCAGAGACGAGGGAACAGGAAGTGTAAAAACGCTGAGTCGTCTTTTATCAGCGTATTATCAATGAACAATACATTGGATTACGTCTCATTGGGCTTTAAGAAATCAGGACGTTTAACACTCCTGTGAGACATTTAATGGACCAAGAAGTTATTCAGATCTCAGAGGACATAACTGGGAGTTTAATTAGATGGAAGCTCGATTCGTCCGCTGAATGATGACTTCAAACTCATTAAAAAAAAGCAATTATCTGGAGCAGAGAAGTGATGAAAGAGAAGCCTTCATCCAGGAAGTGGAGGCTGACTTTCAAAATAAAGCTGTCAGCAGGAAGAGACTGAATTTAGATTTGTCAGTTTTAATCTGTGTGAAACTGAAACACATTCTAATTTAAATGTGTTTCTTTGTCTTCTGTAGACGGATTGATGTTGACAGTAACTGTCTAACCGTGTGAATATGTTAAGTGTTGTCAGTAAACGTTGAGGAGCGCTGTCATCACAAACAGGTTACTGCCTCCAGCTGAACGTTCAGTGTTCATCACATAACTCTCTTTACTCATCTTTCATCTGTTTGTGTGTATTTCACCTATTTTGCTATTTTGAATGAAGCTGAATTGATTTTATTTCAGTTTATTCTCAGATTGAGTGGATGTGCTGCTGGTTAGTTTAGATTAAAGGGACAGTTGTGGTTGTATGAGGTACTTCTACACAGTCTGTGTACTAGTACAGTAGATTAGGAGTTTCTGGTCGACCACTGTTTGTTTGTGTTTTTGTGTGACTTTGGTGAATCTGAACGAACCCTTTAAAACACCAAAGTTATTATTATATATATATATTTCAGTATTGTTGGTTTGGTTGAGTTGAATTTAGTGAATATATATATATATATATATATATATATATATATATATATGTTTAATCTAACAACAAAGTTTGTTCTTAAACGTGGCCTATGGATCACACATAAATTATATACAAAACATCCATAGAAACATTAAATATTACAGAAATATATAATGTATAAGCTCAGGTCATATACAAACCATAAACAATATAATTTGATAGGAATATTAAAAAATATATATATTATACAAACAAACATGTCTGATCACGACTGAGACAACTAATTATTATGGAATATTACAGAAATATTATATTAAAGGAAAGTTACGGTGGAAGAAGTACTCACATATTTAACTCAAGTCAAAGTAGTAATACCACAGAGTAGAAATACTCTGTTACAAGTAAAAGCCCTGCAGTCTAAATATTACTTAAAGAACAAAAGTAATACATCAAAATAAAGTACCAAAAGTACTCGATGTGGAAAGCAGATATACTGCTCGTGAATTACACAAAGAGATCAGTACACGTATATATCTATCCATCATAATACATCATAATGTATTTGTTGATCATATTTTGTATTAGTAATCTGGATCTGCAAAGTAACTTTTTTTTTTAACTTAAGTAAAAGTAGCATGTGTAAGTAAACGTCCTCAATTAAAAGTGTCTTTTATGTAAATAAGGTAAATGTATTTATATCAAAAGTAAAAGTACTTATGATGCTGAAACATGACACTATAACTATTATATATTATAGGATTATGCCTCCTGATGCATTCTTCATATGTCACTGTTTAGTTTAATATATTTTATATAAAACACATAAAACATGATGAATTGTTATATTCTTAAGTACATCAAATCCTATTAAACCTCTCTTGTTATTGTAAAATAATATTTACCTCTCAGGTGTAGTGGAGTAGAAGTATAAAGTAGCAGAACATGGAGGTACAAGTACCTCAAATGTGTACTAAAGTCCAGTTTGGATATTCTACGAGGCCGACTGCTGATCGATGATCAGCCGATAACAGTTCAGATCTGCAGGTCTCACCTGGACGCTTCCCGTCGGTCCTCCGGTCCGTTACGCGCCTCGAACACCGACCAACACCGACCACAGCGGCGGGACTCCTGCAGCGGTGAGACGGGTTAAAAAAAGAGACGGGTCCGGATCCGTCTGTCCGCTTCTTTCAATGAACGTTAACTTATTCACCAGCGGGCCTCCCGGTCTCTCTCCTCGGGAGGGGCGGAGCTTAGAGGAGTGTGAGTGTGTGTGTGTGTGTATGTGAGAGTGTGAGAGTGTGTGGGTGTGTGTGTGTGTGTGTGTGTGTTGGGCGCATTCAACAGGTTTATGAATGAAACAGACATTTGATTCATTCAGTGAATAAAGAGGCTTCTTTTCTCAATAAATGTGTCTAAACTGGCAGAAATACAACATATATTTATGTGTTTTCAATTTAAAGTACATATGGTTGTTTTGTTACAGATCACATCTTATTTTAAATTTCAAACACACCTTTTTCTTTCCATTGTGACATATTTTTCTGAATAAATACACACTTTGAATTCAGACACTATAATAAAATGGTGGACAGTAAATTAAAGGAGCAGAGCGCAGGATTTATTAACAGAAATGTGATATAATATCTAGAACTATGTTTTAATTAGTGTAGAATCACCTAAAATAACCATTGTGTTACGTTAAAATGAGCCCTTCTTTTCTGCTTTTTTCAGGAGCTAGAGGCTAGAGTCCGCCACCGCCATGTGGCTATGGATGCCCAGAGAGGACAAACCAAACACTGGCTCTAGAGAGAACCTTTCACATTGTTATGAAAGGAAACCGTAGTTCTCTTAGTGAAAGGGAGGAGTGAGCGGAGGGTTATTCAGTTGGATGCAATCTGCAACTTCACCACTAGATGGCACTAAATCACACACACCTTGAGGTACACACATGTACCTTTAAGTGTCTGATAGAGTGATACAAAGAGGGTGAACAGAGGAGAATATACCGTCTATAGTCAGAATGACTTCAATAAAACACAAATTGAAAGTTTAAAGTCCTTAATCTTGAATTTAGAGACATACGTAGACGACGATTTACATTCAGAGCTTCACTTTAGGCCAGAAACTCCTAAAAGTGACTCATTCAGCACATTTCATCGTGATCGTAACATGAAATGTTAGTGTTTAGTGGTGTTTACAGTTAAAACTAGAGGTTAAAAGTTTGTGTAGAGTTTGTAAAATTCTACGCTGGCGCCCCCAAGTGGCAGCATTAAAAAAGACACATTCTCCATCAGAATAATTTAAAGATGATGTTGCCTATATGACAACTTTACACTTTCCCTTTATGCTTTTAAGCCCACTTCTTTACATATTATTGTTTTGATTTATTACAATATATTTATGGCATTAATGTCTCTTTTTGATCTAAAAAAACTGCCTTTATTCAACATTTCTGTAATGTCTTTTTTTGGCGTTAACTGGCAAATTCTATTAAATTTAAAAAATCACAAATCATGAATTAGCTGTTTTAGTGAGACTAAAACCAGGACTAAAGAGTCTGTGATGGAGAAGAGAGAGAAAGAAACCAGCTGAATTCAAACAGGACGCTTCAGAGACACCAGGTCTGTTTTATGGTGCTTTGGCGCCATCTGCTGGCGGCAGCTAGAAAATACTTCTGTGCTACTCATTATTTTGTTTTTGTGCTTGAAAGACACCTTGAGCAGGTTGAAAGCATCCTTGATGAGGTTGTAGGCGTCTTGAAGAGGTTGCATGGATCATTGAGGATGTTATGGGGGTCCTTCTTTGTAGGAGCCCTTCAAGAGGTAACCATTCTTGAAGAGGTTGTAGGCATCCTTGAGGACGTTGAAGAGGAGCTTGAGTGTCATTGAAGATGGGGTAGGAGCCCTGAGGAGGTTGTAGGCATCCTTGAGGACATTGCAGATGTCCTACAGTGAGCGGTAGGAGTCCTTGAATAGATTATAAGGGTCCTGGAAGGGGTTGTAGTGGTTCTTCAGTAGGCGGTAGGGGTCCTTGAGATGGTTGTGGGAATAATAAAAGAGGTTGTAGCAGTCGTTGAGGACATTTCAGTCCTTGAGTAAGATGTAGAGGCCATTGAAGATCTGTGTGATTGGAGTCATTGAAGAAATTAAAGAGTAAAAATGCTTGAAGAGGTTTTCCCTGTTAGAGGAGATTGTAGGGGCCATTGGAGTCAATTAATAGTTTGCAATGATGGTAGTTGCACTGAAGAGGTTGCATTTGCCATTGAGGCTATAGGCATCATTGAAAAGGTTGTAGGGGTCCTTGAGATGATTTTTGGAGTCACTGAAGAGGTTTTAGTGGTGCTTGATGAGCTTTTAGGAGCCTGTAAAGAGGTAGTAGGCATCCTTGATGAGGTTGTTGGGGTCATTGGAGTTATTGAAGAGGTTGCAGGACCCCTTGAAGAAGTTTCATGCTCTGCTAGAACAATGCACACTCTGCATTAGTGAAACAGTAAATATAAGCTGAGCTGTTCAGCAAGTTCAGCATCTTTTTCTCCTCTTTCCGTTGAAATGACTATTCTGCCGTTTCCTCCACTGTGAGTCAGGTGTAGTTTTCAGCGTCTTCAGCTCGTGCTCGCATTAAAGTGAACCGACCGCACAGAACCTCTTTTTTTAATCATCCGTCTCGTACGTCGAGGTAATAATGTCGGAGTAATTGTGGCTCCGGCGGCCCGGCCGGCTGATTGACAGCTCATTTAAAACAGACACGGTCAAGGAGATGAGAGAGGTTCAGAAACAGGAAGTTAATGAAGCTGGAGGGATGAGCGACAGGTACAACATCACTGATGCACTCGTCTGTCTCGGCGTAATTGAAACCTCATTTAATAAAACACGGCGATGGTGATTCACCAGTGGTCTCTGAAACTGAGAAAAAAAGCTTTAAATTTACCTGAAAACAAAGAATGAAAGCGTCTCTTGAAACTTTAAATCAAAGAAAGGAGACACATTCAAGGGGAATACGTACGTGGAGATTAGCTCTCTGTGTTGGACTTTAAGAGGGTCCAGTGGTCCTTGAGTTTGTGGAGGGCCTAGAAGAGGTTAGCATACAGAATTGAAACTGAGAGAAACAGCTAGTCTGGCTCTACTACTACTACAGCAGCTCTAACACACAATAGCATAATATCCATTAAGAAGATCATGCGATCGTCGCATGTGTGCATGCGTCTGTGAGTGAGTGACTGTGCACCTCTGTGTCTGTCAAGCTCTAATCTCTCGTCCTGCTGCAGCAAACTGCATAATATTTTGGGTGTCCAGTTACGGCTGCATGCTCAAGGACCTTTCATGTTGCGGTGACTCACACTTTCTCACATCACCTTCTATTGCCTGATTGATACCGCCATTGACTGCCAGCTGACTCCTCCCTCACTCACTCTTATCCCCGCTGGTGAAAACCAAATTTGCGTTTGCGTGTGTTTGCTTTCTTTGCAAGAACTCAACAAATATCTCGGCATGCATGGAGATTGATGACTAAACGGTTCCATCTCAGTCTTTATCTCAGGTTGATCGGTAACTAGTGTGAGTGAGTGAAGAGAGGCGATGGCAAGTTGGCACAGAGCTGCACTTTCTGTCAGACAGGTTGGACAGGTGAGGGAGGTTTGGGTTTGTGAAGGCAGAGACTTCACATCCTCTTGTTACATCCACATTATGTTGAGCTGAGAGACAGAGACACAGCTATGAAGACAAACAGGAAGAAAACAGACAGTTTGAGAGACTGCAGCCAGGTCACATAGAAGACACACTAAACACTGATGGAACAACAAACAGGACTAAGTCGACAGAGTCACTCTGTTTGAGATAAGACCCTCTAAGTCTCTGAGCTTCGGAGGAAACCTGAAATCCAGAACATATTTCCATAATCTGCCTTGTATTCTAACCAACAGGCCCTGAAACACTCATCTCTATTCCCATCATGCACCTGGCCTCTGACACATTACCATAATCCAGTGGTTCTCAAACTTTTTCTGTCACGTCCCACTTTGGAGGAAGAAAAATGTTCATGCCCCACCACCCCAAAAAAATTGTAACAAAATGGTCCATGTTGAACTTTTATTGAAATAACATTTTGTGACTCCTCCATCTGTGCTTTTTCAAATAATAGAATAAAGAAAATTGCAATCACTTTCAAGTAAACCAGATTGCTCCATCAGACAAAAACAAACATAATGTGCAATCGCTTTGTTAGAACAATGCAAATAAAGTTCAATCTGTGCAAAAAAAACAACTTATATTTGGCAAAAAATAGCTTATTGTGGCTGCAATTCACCTGTTTTGCACTGAATATCTTTCTAAGATAATAACAATAAAGTGCAACCTGTGAAAAACTAAACAAAACAAGTTCAAATATTTGGCAATAAAGAGTTTTACTGAGTTTTACACTGCATATCTTTTCAAAACAACAATAACGTGCAACCTGTGCAAAACTAAACAAAATTAGTCCAGGTATGTGTGAGCCATATGCTAACACATATCAGGAGCATTTTATTTTAAATATGAGCTTTAAAATGTAGCATTCTAAAAGTAAAATAATAGCTGTGATAATAATAATAGCTGCACGTGGGCCTGTTAGTACACTGGCTGTGGTCATCACAGTGAACAGTGTGATGAGAGGACATGTGAGCCCTTGTTGCTGTACTTATCAATGTATTTAAAATACTGTGACAGCGGGAAGCTGTACTCACGTCTGTTTAGACCTCCACCTTTATCCAGGCCCAGCTCCACCTTTATCCAGGCCCAGCTCCACCTTTATCCAGGCCCACCTCCACCTTTATCCAGGCTCAGCTCCACCTTTATCCAGGCCCACCTCCACCTTTATCCAGGCCCACCTCCACCTTTATCCAGGCCCACCTCCACCTTTATCCAGGCCCACCTCCACCTTTATCCAGGCCCAGCTCCACCTTTATCCAGGCCCAGCTCCACTCACAGCTCAGCCCTGAGTCAAGCTGCGCTACAGTCAGCCTCCTCTCCCTGAAGCTCTTTGACCTCATCATCTCATCAGTATCTGGACCTCATCATCTCATCAGTATCTGGGCCTCATCATCTCATCAGTATCTGGACCTCATCATCTCATCAGTATCTGGGCCTCATGTTTCGTGGTCATGAAAGTTATTCTGACCATGAAATCATCCTCATTCTACTTTGAGTTAAAAACAACAACCTGCAACCAGATCCGCCGGTGTTCCGGTTTAACGTTAACGAGTGACCGCGTGAACTGAACCGGAACATGGGGGGCTGCATGTTTCATCACGTTACGTTTTTTCCTCCTAAATCGTGATAATGACGAACGTTAACAGTCGACAAAGTTCCGCATGCAGTGGACGTTAACTTAACCCAGCAAGTCTGAACGGTAACGGAACATAACGGAACTTAAACTTTAACGGAGGGAAATGAAGACGCTGTAGACATCTGAACGCTGATTGGCCAAGACTC